TTTCAAAAAAGCAGTCTTTTAGGCCTAGGTGAATTATTGGAATCATTCCACCAACAATATGGTGATATTTTCGATGTATGGACGAAACATCGTTTTATGCGATCCAAGATATATAGTTAAAATACATAAATCATCTACTAAAAGTAAATATATGAGAAGAAATTTAAATACTGAAGGTAGAGAATATGGTTTAATCGATAATGGTGTTTTTAATAATAATAATATACACGGTTCTTGGAAGTTTAATAGAATAGCTTTTAGCAATGGTTAATGCGTCCAACGTTAGATATGGATGCGTTATAATGGACTATAGAATTGGTTGAAGAAATGGAATCATGTTGGCACAGAATTGGTATTATAATTGGAGAGAAAGATTTGAACGATGTGAACGAAACGTCAATAAAAAATAATGAATTAAATCTTTCAAATTGGATGCGTAGGTTCGCATATGATATATAGAATAACAATCGGGGTTAAAGGAAAGCACTTGAATCATACATTAATAATGTATGTGAAGTTAATAATCAAGAAATGAACCAAAATAGTCTTATAACTTGTATTCAAACTTACATTGAAGGAATAATTTATTTTCGCTTATGTCCGAAATTTTTTCGTTACTATTTTCCATATACACGAAGAATTGTTCGTAAATATATAGATAATAAAAATATTTAAATCAAATATTAATAAAGATTATTGAAAATTGTCGACAAGAAATTGAAGAAACTTCATCAAATGAAGAGTTAAGAAATGATATGTTGACTTTCATTATCACGAATACTGATAGAGATACGAATAAGGGGAAATTCTCAGAAAAGTACAATGAAAGCCCTATGAAAATGAAGAGATTTGTGGAAATATAATTGATGGATTTATTGGAGGGACTGTATATAACTCTAATTGTTAAATGTCTTTGTTCAACAGAATGCAAATTTATTCTGCTTTATAATTTATTATTTTGCATACCATAAGGATATTCCGAAATTAGTTTACTATCTTGCACACCATAAGGATATTCAAAAATGACAGAACACGAAAAATAACAAAGATTTAAACAACCTTAAGTATTGTGAATCGATAATTAAAGAAGCATATCGATTACAACCAGTAGTTTCTTTAATAATTCGTTCAAGCTCAGAAGATGATGAGATCTGTGAATTGTCAGAGGCTAAGTGGACTAAAACACACACACCAAACAAACGAGGATAGTGAACGAATTGTCGCTTGCAATTCGTCGACGTCACGTAACCTTATTCGAAAGTCAAAATGAGGCGGATTCGGTTTGGCACGGCTAAGGCAACTACTGTATCGAGTGCGTTACAAGGTAAGAAAAATGGAATTTAAAGAGCGTTTGGTTTCTCGATTGGTATTGGTCTTTTATTTGGAACGGTATTTTATTACCTATTTATGTACACGAATGACCCCTATTCC